TACCCCCACATTATATATATATATATATATATATATATATATATATATATATATATATATATATATATATATATAACTCTTTTCTCCTACATACCTTAAATATTTTCTTAAATACAATGCATTGTGGGCCTTCTCGCCTTAAGCAGTAACCATCGCCTTTTATTTAACCTGGTTAATGTTTACACTCGCATATTGGAGGATTTACACACTGTAAAAGTCCTTAACATTATAATACACACAAGTATTTGCAGTTGGCTTAAAAACACGCAGTAAATCTAACGTTTGTTAATAACTGTTACTTACTACCGCCAGTAAATGCATCGTTTTTACTTGTCTCTACCTTAATAGTCAGTCAAGGGCAAAATCAAGTTTAAGCAATTTGATTGGCTGTGATTGACTGGGGCGAGAACGGTACTGGAGGTGTACGTACCCGCTGCTACCTACTGGCAGTCAGCCGGTGGCCGTTCATGGACGAAATTGGATGTATACTGCTGGACTGTTATTTTATAGCTAACCAGTTGGAGCTACGAACTTTTTCCTGGACGTTTTGCCTGTTTTTTGGAGCCACAGAACCAGACCACGCTCAACGTTTTGCTTGGATTTTGGAGCTGCAGACCACGCTCGTGAACCGGAAAGGACTGTTAAACCGGAGTTGGAGCCGTTTTATTGCCGTTCGTCCAAAACTGGTAAACCATGGTGGGGTGAGTAACCCTTTCCTCGTGGTGGTTCTGGAGCCGCCATCTTTGGAACTGCTATCCCGAGGACCAATGCTAACTGAGTCCCTTCAGGCCTGCAACGTTTGTAAAGCTAACAGACTGCTTTACTAATTCAAGAGACTGAATAGTGTGGTTGGTGCATTCAGTTTGCCAGCCTTGTTTGCTTATTTTTTATGTATATAATCTGTTTAAAGGGTTGTTTTGTACAATTCTGATACAGCGCGGTTGCACTAAGTGTGCCAAATACCCTCTTACTGATTTATTGTGGTTGTAATGTGCTGAAAGTTAACTGTGCTCTGTTAATGTGCATTGCCCTTGGTTTATTACTGACCAGTACGGTTGACTAAACTGGTAAATCTTCAACTTTACCATTTTTCCTTCCTTATTTTAGTATAAGGTTAAGGTTGCACTGCATTTAGATCTTACTTGTAGTTATCTTAGCCTTGCTATTATGCTCAGTTATGTACTCTATTTACAACACATGCTGTTGCCAATTAAGATACTCATTTCTCAGTGTGAAGTATTTGATAGAGTGTAGGTCAGAGAATCTGGGCGCTGTTCATAAGGGAAACGTGAACAGTGGTTACATATAACATAGCAATAAGATAAGTATACTTGAGGAGCCCAAGTATGCTTTTGAAGTTCTGCAGAAAATTGTTCTGGAATTGGACGGAAACAAACTATCCTACAAAGCACAAGTTCTCAAAACACAACTCTCCCGCTGAGAAACTTGCTACATGGCTTTCCAAACTTGAGGAAAGCTTCATAAGACCAATCAGTCCTTAAAGACTGCAGTCGAAAACAAGATTTAAATTGTTACAATTCTCAAAATTGAAGAGCAAATTTACTGATACTTTTTTAAAATTTTGTTAGGAATTTGATTTCTGTGACCAACACAGCCCAGTTTTGGCTGGAATAACAAAACGTTAAAAGTTTAAAAATTAAGTTGAACTAACACATTTGCTTTAAATTGGAGTAACATAATTACATAATGCTGTAATAAAGCAAAGTAATCAGGTGGAAATCTTTTCCATTATTTTTTTTTTATTTTAATCCAAAGAGTTATTTTTTTGAGTTTACAGTCGTAACAGATGCATGGGCAAGGCCTTCTTCTTCTTCTTTAGATTTTAATGGCAGCTTGTATCCATTACTGTTGCACTATTGCCATGTGTTGGATCCTAATATTTATTCCTCAAATTCTCCTAATGAGCCCGGTATTTTAAAAAAAAAAACTAAATATCTTCCCTTTTCCATTACGATTTAACTGAGCAACCAAATTCTCAAATGTCAATTCCCTATTAAAACCTATTTCCATATTCGGTAATCTTCTTTGATTCATTTATTTCCTCCAACTAATAAAAACATGTTCCGTCGTTTCTACAGTATTGCACTAATTACATAAACCAGTAAGATGTTTCCCCGTCTTCTAAAGAGTGGCTATGGGTGGGGCTGGCACAGCATTTCCTGTTTAAATTGATTTATAAAGTCACTGATCGCATCACTGGATACAACCAAAATGGAGGGTTTTCTTTTGGTATTGCATTTTTTACTCTCTTTATAGTAACTCTTCGAATTTCCTCGTAATAAATGTTTTATTTTGCATACACTTTCATTTTGTATCTGGGTCTGTAAATTAAATTAATAACCTTATTCCTGTTTCTTTGCTTGGATTTTGTTGTTTTGTTTGACCTGCATGTTCTAATGGCACAGCCTAATGAAGTTCCTGCACAACACCAAGTCCAGTCAAATCGAAAGTAGTGAGAGCTGATCCGCAGCTCAAATCAGATCTTGAATTTTCTGCTCCAGTTCTGACCAGTATTGATACTTTGACAGGCACGATAGAGAAGAAATGCATCTAAAAGTTGCATGACACCAGCTGTCGAGGATTGGACTTGAACACCCACGATGGATGAGCTGTGCCGCCAACCAGCAGCAGGATTTTTCTAACAAGAGCTGGAAATCATTTCCAATTGGAAAAGCAATAAGTTGAGGTGTGTCCCTTCCCTCCCTCCCTGCAAGGTTGATATTGCAAATAAGAATTTACTCTGAACAGCTCACATGGCTAAATATAAAAGTACATTTCATTTTAATCGGTGTAATTTCCTTTCAAAGCAAAATGACAAATTAGACGCAACACTGACATCAGTCCGGCACCGCTTGCTGCTTTCCCGCACTGTCGTCATGGTTTCTAAAAGCTCACAGCCGCGTTGGATAGTCTCCACTTGTGATTTATAAATGGTACAAGGCAGCTAATGAAGAGCCATTTAAGTTACAAGTTTATCTTTTTTTCCCTGCAACCTGGTTTCAATCCACACCACAGTCTTAAGATTTCGATCACGAGCCTCGGCCCTCTGATGTATCATAATATCTCCGTTTAGGGTTTGCATCTGGAATTAGGGCGGGCGGCGATGATATCCCTTTTAATTGGTTTTCACCTCAACAAGTCAAGCTTCGCCTCACTGCGCATGTGGACCAACTGCAGCTGCTGACAGTGAGACATATTCGTCCTGACGGAGAGGCGCGCCTCTCCGCTAATGCATATTTAATTTTGTGTGCCACAGCTATACGCTGGAATATTTCAATTACTTGCGTTAGACTTTTCCTGCGAGGAACAGCCCTCCGTTTAATTTGATTGTGTATAATTACTGTAAAAATGAATTTTAATTGTTATGGCCCGTCTTTAAAATAGATTGGTACTTATATCCTTGCTACCAGTGAAGGTGTCTTCTTTTATACCAGGGATTAAAAAAAAAGAGAGACTCCAATCAGAGTATATTTGGCTAAATTAAGAGAATGAAGTCAGACTTGGTAACCGTGTGAGAGCAGGTCATGAAGACACAGAGAGATCTTATTAACCCATTTTTACAGAGGAAGAGCCAAACCTTGGAAAACTCATCACAGAGGGGGCGCCGCTTGCGTTGAGGCAATTTGAATGTGAAAACAAGACCGCTAACCTTTTTTGTTACGTCGGCATCAGGCGGCGCTTCCAGATAAATCCTAACGAGCTACATTGTTCCTCCATCCAGACTTTGTTACGGGGATATTATTGGGCGTCACAGTAGCCGTATTATCTGCCACGTTTTTTACAGCTGGGTGCCTGTTCTTGCTCTCAAAGAACACCGGCACCTGGGTTTTTTGTTGTTCACCGTGAACCCCCCCTCCCAAAAAAAAAAAAAAAAATGAAATATGCATCACTCTCGCTCCTCTGCCTCTCTTTCCCCATCGGTGGCTTCTGTTGTCCGAGTGGATCCGGCGGGTTCCGCTGGGGTGGAGATGAGCTTCGCCTATTCGAAAATCGGGAGACACAGCCGCCTCATAATTAGATTTGCTTTCTGTGTGGCGCCAGTCCCTTCAATCTAATCTATTTATGCATTCCCTCTTTCAGGCCTCATTGAGATTCTATCGCCTTGTATTTGTACCCTGCCTGTCAAAACTGCCTTCTTTTCTTCACAATTTTGGGCTCATTTCACTGGCGGAGATGGGCGATGATTGCCCGCTGGTCTCATCGCGAATGCAGTGTGCTGGAACTTAAGAGGCTTCTGTGTTCTCTTTAAAAGGTGGCTCTGCTTCTGTGTGTGTGTGTGTGTGCGTGCGTGCGTGCGTGCGCACACGCGCGTGTGTCTGAGGATGACACATAGGCCGTGGGATGTGTTTGTGTTTTTGTGTGTGTGCTCATGTTCTTCGGTCTCTCTCATATTGATGTGGATGTCAATAAATAGTCTGTATATATCCGTGTGTGTTTAGGTGTGTGTGTGTGTGTGTGTGTGTGTGTGTGTGTGTGTGTGTGTGGCAGAGGTGTAGGACTGTGAAGCCAACAGGGAAGAGAGAGAGAGAGAGAGAGGGGGGGAGGGAAGGAGGGCTGGAGTGTTAAAGTAAGATTAACTTTATTGATCCATGAGAGACAGAAGTGGTTATTGTGGCCACAAACACCAGGCTACGGTTGAAAATGCAGGAAGGTGAAGATGAAGATGTGTGTGATTCTCACTGGAACCACGTTTCAGCCCCGTGGCTTAAATCAGATCTCAAATTTGCAGACTTGTCTCCTTCCTGGAATGCAAATGTGCTCAAGTTGTCAGGTCCAATGTTTTGCTCTGAAGGTAGTCTCTGGTCAGGGAGAGTCTGCGTTGTCGCTCACACCTTTTGGTAAAGTGAAAGGATTTAACGCAAGACGAGGAATGTAAGGGCAAGAAGACCCTGCTCACATGGGAATCTGTAGAAAGGCCTTCGGACACATGCAGGGGTTCTAAAAAGTGTTGAAAATCCTGGGGGGAAAAAAAATGAAATGTGGTTCTTAATGCTGGCTATTAGGGGAAATTACAAGCTTATACAGTCTCACACAGCACATTACTCTTTTTGACCTTCCCACCTTCAAAGCTTTCCCCCCCATCACCCATTTATGTGAGGGGACACAAACATAAGGTAATCACATACTTGGCAGTAAGTGCAACCATTATTCAAATTTTAATGCATGGAAGTGAGTCCTTAGATGTCAAATGATACAGAGGAGAAACATGTCAACACAGATACAATATTTTTAAGTTTGAATGTTTGTTCTCTTACTTTGCTGTGTGTTCTAAAGTGACGAAAGGCAAATGAAAAAAAATAATAATGGACTTATTTTGTAAGTTGGATTAAACTATCTTTTTATTTGCAAATAAGAAAAGAGGGGGAAAAAAAATCAAAACTAAGATATTTTCAAGCTTTTTGTTTGATTCTCTTTCAGGAGCGTCTCTTTTTTTCCTGAAAGAGAGGGCAGGAAAAAAAAGAAAATAAATTTTGTGGACAAAATTTGACCAGAACATTGCATCTTTCCCACAATGAAACATTTATGTTTTTTTTTTATTTATTTCAGAAGAAGGTTTTGTTATGCCTTGAAAGGCAAGTGGAAAAAAGTTTTTTGAGAGGTTAATTTACTGTAAAGCACTTTAGACTGAATATTTCTACGCAAATAAACTTGCCTTTATTGCCTTGTGTTGAATTTTTGCTATTGTTTTGTGTTCACAAGGCAGGGAAGGACGTAGATAGGTTATACAACGCAGTTATCTCATCACATTATTTGTTGACTATAGAATAACAGCTAACTGGGATGACATGGGGTAATCTGAACCTAAATACCAGCAGCCAGGGTGTCCCGAGCTGATACTGATATCGGAAATCTGTCCGATGTCCATCCAAAAAAATCGAGTATCGTATTACATTAACCTAAATCTAAAATCTCCGATTGAAGCACTCAGCATCTCTGTTCAGCAGAATAGAGATGATGCATGCAGACATATTGATTATTAATAAGTGGGTAATTTGTTGTTGAGTAATTTAACTTGATTGAGCCTTTTCTGACATTTCACACTATAAAGTAAGTAGAAAAAATATGATTTGTGCCGATATCGTATCGAAGGTGAAAGGTTGAATTTAGACACACGTACCAGCAGCATTGTGTCAATTTCTCCTCTGTTTCTGAGGTTCATCATGAGGCACTATTACCATTACTCCGACGCCTGTGGCCAGGCGTCACCACTGTGCTTGTGTAAACCATAGCACAATTGAATGGAACCAGCTGAAAGTCTCACTTTTTTCTCACAATCACCTTTTCACTCATGATGGCATAAATGCAGCTGTCACAATATGATCCACTCAAACTCTATAGGTTTGAGTGGATCATATTTAAATTTCGTAAATCAGCATGCAATCAGTTTAAGCTTTGATCATAATGTGATTGATGCTGAGCAGGGAGGTCAATATACTGCAATACAACCAGAAAGATACCACAATAAAACACTCTTCTTCTTCTTCTGGAGAAAACAAACACTGGAGTTGATCATCGAGAGTGAAATGATATAAATAGCCTGGATACACTGGTTATTGATTTATTCAATGAAATGATCCGGGGCACAAGAAAGCAAAGATCATTCTGAACAAGTATTCTGACGAAAGAAATTAATGATTTTTGAAATTTTGTGTGTTAGTGCATTTAAGTGGTAGAAAGATTAAACACAGCCTTTATAGATTAGAGATAGTCCGAGCTTCAACTGGCACCAAACCTTTAAAGCCAACCCACTTTCTCTGTACAATATAATTAAATAAAAGAAAGCACTTAAATAAAATTTGAGGATATTATTATACTCCGTGAAAACTTTGAGTCACCCTCATCTTTATTCATCTTCAGCCAGGCTCCTCTTTCGTATAACGAGCAGCACTGATCCTGATCAATAGTTCTCCGGGCTTTCCGAAACTCTTTCAGAGTTTTTTTTTTGTGGACATTTTCTGTTTAAAATTTTCAGCCGCGTCCCTCTATCTGACGGTGGCAGTGCGACGTTCAGGGTGTCCTCAAGAAACTGAGGAAACCAGAGAAGTGGAGGGGAAAATAGGAAGTGGCAGGTCTAAAAAAACTATCTAAAATAGATGAATATAAACTGTAAAGCCTGTCCTTAAGAAATGCTGGGGGAAGAAAAAAGAAACAACCTGACAGGGTTTAAGAGATGCATCATTCTGTGGCTCAGATATTGCTAAATTGCCAGCTAACAGTTCTCTGGGGTCATCTCGCTTCTCAAAGAAATCTGAATGTAAAGATTTAATTTTTGTGGTTCATCTTTAATTACGTTAGTGGTATGAGCACTGTTATTTTTCTACAACAGTCACTATTAAATTAGCTTCTGGGTTTGCAAGTGAGGCTGATAATATTGGATTTGCAACTGTTGGATTTGCAAGTTTTAATTAGTCAGAGGGATTTTCGCAAAGCTGAAAAACTGATTACTGGTTTGTAGAAATATATCGTGGTTATACACTTAACATGGACATAAAATAGTTTAAACAACATATTCAAACGCTGTGTTGCAGAATTATTTAACATTTTGTGTTTTCGTTGTTAGCCAAAACCTTCAAGTTTGGTCCTGTTTGACTGGAACGCCTTTCTTTCTTACACCAACAATGGCTTTCTTCTTTTCAAGATATTGACCACCTCATAAATAAATAAATACATTTCACATGATTTTGATACAGGCTAATACATAGTGGTCTGCTTGTTTGCCTTGTCTTTTTAGACCAAATTTTACTCAGCAAAATAGGCAAAAATATTTCTTAACTCTTAATTTTTCACATTTTAGTGCCTATTTCACACAGGAATTTTTAATAGTCCAAGACAAAAGTAACATATAGGAAAAGGAAAAAATAACATTTTTTTAAAGGGTTTTGTTATGATGGTGGATGTAAAGGAGCCTCTCCAAAAAAACAACTGGAGAGGTTGTTTAGTAACAAAACGAGATTAAGTTACTGAGGAAAATCACTGGAGTGAGGAATAGGGCATGGCAGAGTAGCAGATAGGGTAATGGAAGAATCCAACAAAAACACAAATATAAAAACAGAGCTTATATACCGAGGGCAGGGGTTGAAAAAACAGATAAACTAATAAGAGGCAATGAAGAAAGAATAACAAAATGGGAGAATGAGACAGGTCTTGGAGAACCAACTTCAAATTTACAAAGAACAGGTAAACTGAGAAATTAAGCACAAAGGAATGAACCTGTACGGCAACACCATTCTAGCAATAATGAAGAGAAGTGATCACAAGCAATAGAAAAATGCTTAAAACTGTGAGACAAACCAAAACACCTGTGGATTGTAACAGGTTTTTACATATAAGAACTCTTGACGTCTTCGTGTTACTTTTCCATGAAGATCAGATTTGTGCGATCTACAATCAATAGTTGTTCTTTTGACAAATGTTCTCACCTGAGTTTTGGGTCTGTGCAATTTCTCAAACTTACCTTTACCCAACTGGTTGCTTCTCTGATTAATGCTCTCCTCTCTTCTAGACGTATCACAGTTGTGCTATTGTGTAGTTGCACCATTATCTTTCCTTTTGCAGACAATAGCTTGAATATAGCTCTGTAGAGCTTGTATTATTTCAGAACCCTGCACTAAAACTGCCTATGGTGAGCAGAGCTAGCCACGTTAGGTGCACTAACCTCTAATTAACTTCAAAAATAGAATCTTAGCTATGCTAACGCTAAACCACTAAACACATCTAAAAAAAAAACAGCATAAAATAAAGATTTATGCTTATGCTAAACATAAAATCTTAGCTCTGCTAACGCTAAACCATTATGCTAAAAATTAGCAGAAGCTAACGCTTAATCACTAACCTCATAAAAGTTAGCAGATGCTAACGCCAACCATTAA